TTTGTGAAAAGACAATAAAAAGACAGATGTTCGAAGTCTTAGGTATTCATGCACCAAGTTCAGAATTTCATCTAACCCTAACGCAGACATGCCTTGAGCCGCTCAATCATGGTGGGTCAGAGATGCTTGTAAACATTCCCATGTGACACGTCATCTTGGGCAACCTCTATCTCCATATTTGTCGATCCCACAAACACGGTTGAGAAATTCAAATGGTTGACGCGGTTGGTTTGCATTTGCATGTTGGACCGCAGTTGTCTAATGATTTTGTTGCTTGTTGGTATTTGAACAATGAATGCTTTTTGAAATCATCTTCTACATGTTAGTTAGTTGTTGTTTGACAAATTTCAACAACTTCTTTTTTCACAAAAGTTGTTTCAGAAAGTTGTTTTGAAACTTGTTTTTCTTAAAAAGTCGTTGAAAGAAACTTATTTTTCTAAAAAAAAGGTTGTTTTCAAAACGTTTGAAAAGATTTCGCAAGAAGTTGATTGTTTCAAAAGAACATTGTTGATTTCCAAGGTTGTTTGTTGCTACGTTCTGTGTGATCCTGCCACAGGCTCTTTAAAAAACGCCCAAACGACACTGTATGACCTGGATTCGCAACTTAAGGATACTTGACGTATTAAGTATATATATATACTATAGGTGAACAATTCCATTGAAAAAAAAAACAAAGGGAGATTCACCGACTGTAGAAAACCAATGTCATCATCACCCTGCAAAATGAAGGATGAGATTGGAGAGGAGATCGGAATATTAGTTGTGGGAATTGGATCAAGTCTTCAGTCATTGATCACGTCTTCAGCTCTGACTCGCTGGTACTGACTCCCTGGAAGACGTGTTTGACCGGTGTTTTTTCCGCTCTGGAAAAAAAGGTCCGGTGCCCCGAATCTTCAGGGAACTTCCGTCGAAACCGTCGCAAGGGCAAGGGGAAAAGGATCGTCGAAACCGTGGACGAAACCGTGGACTTGATAGAAGAAAAAAATAAGATTAAAGCCATGCCAGGCAGGAACGAAGGAACAAAGTGTCATCCAAGAAGCTCTTTAAAGTGAATTAGATGTTGGCGGCCAGGGCCGTGCGTTCGTCTCGTCGTGTGTGTCGATGTTTCCTCAACTCAAAGGATCCAAAGCACGGACCGGACCGCCCTGTCCACCCTGTCCGGATGCTGCACATATAGCGGCAAAACCACTCTTCACCCATGGTGCTGGCAGATAGCAAAAGAGATATCGTTCCAACCTGAACCTGTGGGCACAAATCAAGTGACTCAAGTGCGAACTTACCCGAAGAGACACGTTTCCACACGTTTCACCACACCACTTTGAAAAGAATCATATGGACCACATGTCTTCACCTCCCACTGTCATGGAATCATCCACCAACTCCCTGGTTAGCACCGTCATGAAAAAGATCGTGCTAGACCGGCAGGATGGCTCGGATGTCATGCGCAGAAGTTCCAACTTGCTCAGCTCAAGAGCAAGGGGTCCACAAGAACAAAGGATTCTTGGGTGGGCACCTTGGACCCTCCATGGCGGCAAGGGCTCGAACCCTATTCACAAGGGTGACAGGGGCCCCGAACCAAACCCTGTTTTTTTGTGGACCGGGTGCGGATCCTCTCCGGGCATGAGCGATCACGGTACGACTCCAACCCGACGCGAGCGAGGCCCGCTTCCGTCGGTGACCACTGCGGCTGCGTGGGATCCACATGGGGTTCCATTACCGGCAGAAGGGCTCCGAAGGGCTCCCTCCCAACTCTCAGACTGGTCATGAATGGTAGGCAAGTCCCACCTCCACCTCCATCAACCACTCACCTCCTTCACTGAAAAGGTGGGGACTTGGAGCCCAGCCCCACCTCTACCTCACCCCCCACCTCTCCGAGCGACAGACACCGGTGGAAACGCGTTCCACGGCACCGTTCCGCCTCAAAGTCCTGCAACGAGACCTCTCCATGCGGCGCCTCAAAGAAGCGAAGCAAGTTACGTGGCGGACGGAACACCAAAACACCACAAAAACAGGAGGTTGCTCAAAGAAAGAAGACGTTTGGTCCCGCTGGTTGGAGTCATGTGTTGCAAAGAAGTGCATTTGGATGCATTTGGGGCCAGGTTTGAGCCTACAGGTTTGAGTCATGCAAATCTGTTTGCGAGCCATGGCTATAATCAGCCTACCTACACTCCGACAAACACATCACATGGACGTGTAGTTCACCTTCTGGTTGGAGAGGAACGTCGTTTCAGTTTTTCCCCGGTCCATATCAGTGAGTTGGAGAGTGTAACTTGAGAACAAATCACACCCTCCACGTTCAGTAGGTGCAATATTGCCTACCAATGATATTATGGTTTGGCTTCAGCCGTTGAACAAACCGGAATAATTGCTACTACACACCCTGTCGGACTCCAAGAAAAGGATACTTATACAGGTTAATTACACCAGTACACCTTGGGTCAAGAAATCTAAGAGTCCAGGTACCATCGAACTCATCTTTGGCCAGGGGTCACAATTGAATCGACGAACATCAAACAGCCCAGTCCCACCGAGCGAGCGCGAAAAAGGAACGGCGCCGCGAATCCGGTGCAGTGCCCCGGCCGAAAAAAGGGTGAAGGATCGAACATGGCTTCCATTGGGTGCTTCCAAATAGGACATACCCAACTCCCGTCACCGGTCTGAACGAAGTGATCGACGAACGGCGAGACCAACCGGGTGAACGACCGACCCTTCACGGTGCGGTCGTTCGGACCCGGGCTCGGGCGAACACATGGTGGGTCACGACCCATCGCCAGATTTTTGGTGCTTATGAATGAAGGCTTGTCTTATATATATATATAATACCTCGGGTTTCTATGAGATGATCATGTGCTTTCACCCCGGTGCTTGACACCGCATGGGGCGCGCTCTGGCGCTCCTACCATCCTTTTTGGAAGGCTCTGTCTCACCGGTCCCCACTGGTCACCTCGATGCAAATGAAGGCGTTCAAGTTGATGGGTCGGCGCGTCTCACCAGGGTCCTCAGACACTGAGACAGACGGACAGTGGAGAGCTGAGACAGACGGACAGGAAGGCGTGTTGTGCCCTCAAAAAGGATTTGTAGTGACTCGTACATAGGGAGGACTGCAAAGCGGTTGAAAAAGCAGATCTGTCCAAGTTTGTGTTTTGATTGAGGGAGGAGCCGGGCTTGTCGAACATGCTCGGTTTCGATGGCTGCACTGTTTGTTGTGGGAGAAGAACCTTTGTGGTAGTGATCAAACACATTTCATTTCATTTTTATAAAAACAAAAATAAAAAACATGAACACGTGTTCCCGTCGACGGAGGCTTTCATGGAAAAACTGGTGGGGCGACGTTGCCAAAGGTGTGGAGTGACAGCACCCCTTAATACCCTGTGGAAAACTAACATGGACACTGAAACCCACTGGTTTGTAGAGGAAAATAGTCTCCCAAAGATCAATTTTCAGGGTCCATGTTAGTTTTCGGGAGTGTAACCCTCAGCAAAACATACAACAAATCCGTGATTGCACTCGAATCCGTGATTGCTGATTCTTAGCCCTAAGTGCCACGGACATCGAAGCCCCTACATGCACTGTCTTATGGACAATCTTGAAGTGATTCACTGGTGCACCAGGGGCGAAAGCTCTGCGGTCACCCTTCAATGCAGATACAATGACCCTCTCCACATATCACAAAGCAAATAATTCTACTGTACTCTGATTATCTGTGTCACCTTTGCCATACTGCTCAAATGAACTGAATTCTGAATACGTGTGATGATCGGTCACGAATCATCGGATACCCCCCTTCTCCATCCATCGGTGTTCAAACATCTGTTCCTCGCCTCAGTCATGAAGGCCTTGATAAAATCCACCGCCACATCAACCGAACTTCCAGGCTCAACCTGGCGTGGAAAAACACAGCAGCAGCGTGACCGCAGTTACACGTGTGACGCGGATGGCACATGGCAAGATAGGTACGTCATGCAGTTGTTTGTATGGGAAAATGGAACGGAGTGTTTGATAGTGTTTTGCTTCTTTCATCTTTGGTCGCAGCTGTTCTGGGTCTTCTCGGTGGCTCAAACGATCCATACTGTAGCGAGCAATCCACGATCGCGATCAGTCCAGCGATGCAACTTAGTCCTTAGCACAGAGGTGCGGTCGCCTTGGACCATCCACTTCCGCCAGTCGAAGGGTCTCTGCTTCATGAAGCATTCAGCCCACTGTTCAGGAAAACCTCAAACCAAAAGTCCTTTCAAGGCGAGTACTTCCCCAAGGCTTCAAGGATTTTCGGACACAAATCCTCCCCGAATCCTCCCAACCTTCCACCCGGCACATGTTAAAACCAAGTGGCGCTGATAAAGGCCCGGTCCTCCTCAGGCCCGTTCGCCCGTACGTCGCCCGGGAGGTAGACCGGGCGCTGGCCACCCCGATCAGCCAGGCGGAAGACCTCGGGGGTCGACAGCGGAGGCGGAGACCACTTCCGAGAGCGGAGCTTGGGCTATCTACGCATCGGGTTGATGGCAGGCATAGGGTGTTGGCAGGTCTATCTTTGGAACTTGAAAAGCAAGGCCCTTGCCCTTAAGGGCTGAGCCGCTGAGCCTAGAGCGGCTGAACATCTGGCATTCACTTGCCTCAGCTCACACTGTTGGTTGTTATCCCAAGAACCGATAAAATGGCCCTCTATCTTGGGAGAGTATTGGTTGAACACCTCGGAAGATCATAGAATCTCTCCAGAAATACCATGGATGTCCATGGATAACCCCTGGCATCTTAGCATCTTCCTCTGAATGTCGGGGTTCAACGGTGTTCGTGCTTAGCAGAGCTGTCCTTCCAGATGTGCTGGAAGGGCATACAGCGTTGCCCACCAAAAAGACCAAGCAAGGATTAACAAGCAAAGACCATCCCTGGAAGAGGTACTGTACATACATCGATGGGTCATGGGGTAAATGTAGATAAGAACTTTTTTCATGCCACGTGTTGCGTTGATTGTTCATTGCCACGTGCTGTCCAAACCAACTGAAGAAGTGTAATGTATACACGTAATACACTATGCCATATCATGGATGATCTGGGAAGGATGGGACTAAAGGGAGTGTCCCCAAAAAATAGACACCTGTTGGATATGCAATGGGTTCAATACATCTGCCTCAACTGGATGGTGCTGGCGGCTTCTCCGCGGTCCTGGGCTGACGTCCTTGGTGAATGGTCCGCAAAGCATGTCTACCTGGAAGAGATTCTGTTGGCCCGTTCGACCACCTATCCAACAGTCCACGTAGGAGTCATTTCACTCATAGCTTCTCCTGCTTGCCTTGGAACTTTGCAGCTCTCGGAGGTGGCTGAAAGTCTCGCTTCACTCACGAAGGTCTCCAAGTTGCAACGAACCCCTCAGAGTATACCCCCTCTCTTTAGATTTCGTCCAACGGAATTGCCAACCCCCGACAGTTTGCCCATATTACCAACAATGACAATGTCTCAAAAGCAGTCTACTTCAGGGTACCTCCACAGGTTTTGGTGTGGCAAATGGAATGTCCACCATGGTGGAGGTCTTCTTTCTTGAACCCATGTCCTCATTCCACTCCTGAAGGGGCTCCCGACCACATCTACACGCTGCACTTTGTCATTTCTTCCCTCCTGAACGTCCGAACGAGAGCCTCCTCGGATCGTGTCCGAGATCTGGGTCTGCTGTGCTGCCTATGTTCCTTAATGGATACGACAAGTCTGTGCTGCCTATGTAAGCCTTGCGTTCGAAGATGTCCTTCTTCGCCCTGCTAGAAGAGTGGAGGAGGGTGGTGTCAAAGAAAGCCAGAAACTCACATGTACTTTTCTTTTTCAGAGTCACCGTCACCCAAGACAAACAAACGTCCTCTCAGTGGCACGTGGCACGTGGCAAGGACCAAACGTAAAGCACTTAAGCATGGTTTGGTCCTTTATGGAGGGAACCCATACCGTTCAACCAACTGCAACGTCGCTTAGACATTAAACCTGCTTTTTCGAGGACTGAAACGGCTCCATCGAAAAACTGTCTCCAACTTCATCCATAATCCGCAAGTGAAAGAAGCCATATCGATATCCCTTGCCAATCCGGGCCAAAGGCGGCCAAAGGGGCTGCCAAAGGTGGGTTTGACAGACCAACTCCTGATGACGAACACCACTACTGGCGAATCCATCGGATCGTCAGTCCGCTGGACCCGCTGAGAAGGCACCCGCGAACACGTCGTCGAAGCCGCTCACTACTTGAGAGTCGGCACCAGGCTACCAATCCTCATATGACTAACCCTAAGGGTCCGGACCCTCCATGGCAAGGGGTCGAACCCGCTATATCAAGGGTTTGGGGCCCCGAACCAAACCAAGGTTTTTTGAGGGTGCGGATCCTTAGGGAAACTAAAAAAGAAGCCGACCATGCTGTTTCGAGTTCCACTCCACATCTACGATTCCTGCTGATCCACAGATGATCACCCCAGGCCAAAAGGCCACCTGATGTAGCGTAGCACAATCCCCTCACCAGAATGGTCTTGCAGGGGTTTTAGTCACTGGTGGTTAAAACCCCGGGGTAGTCATTCCCAAATAGCCTTGAAATGTGAAATATATTGGAAAAGATTGGACAAGTACGTACATGACCAACCAATTACAAGTGAACGGCCTTACATCTCCATAAGTCTTTGGCCTCATATAATTGGGCGTGGTTTTAGTCATCGGGCCCGAAAGAATGAGAAGGGTTCGATTCGAAAAAATCGGACCCGGACGGTTTCTTAGAGAGATAATTAAGAATACAGGGTCCACCCAGACGCTCCGTGAACGACGCCCGAGCGGTCCGGATTGGTTCGAAACCCCAGACCCCTCCATATGAGGGTCCATAATCTCGTCTGGGCAGGTACATGAAGTGGATGTGTCCTAAGGACAGGCTGGGGCAGGGGGTCTCTCTATTGAAATACGACATGGATGCAACAGGGGTCCGAAACTTCTTTTCGGAATCTTCAAGCTTTATCATACAGTGTATAGGAATCATATGTAGGAATTACCTGAATTTTCTACAGTATATATATAGGCTTTATAACATTTAATATATACCTAGCACTTCCAATGGGTGCCCAATGGAGACCTATAGGTAGGGTAGGCTTGTCCATTAGTGACCTGTTGGAAGCACCTGGTACAGCATGGATCCCCAGCCGGCGCGCGCGCGCGCGCCACCGCGAGGACGCGCCCCGCCTTGGTTCGGAGCTCACAGGTCTCGGCGAAGCGGAGCTCCAAGGGGTCGTCCAAGTGGCCCGGGCCAAAGCCGCCCAGGTTGTTGTAGACCAACTGGAGCCGCCAGAGGGGGCTGGGCCAGCGAGAGGGGAGAGGGGGTGTGTTTTCGTGTGTGTCGTTTTTCTGTGTTGGTTCGAAACGAGGGGGGATTAAAAGAGCTGAGATAGGGATTTTTGGGGGTGACTTAGATGGGGTTGATGACTTATTGATGACTTATGGTATAAAATGAGTTTCATGGTTGATTGATGAGATGATGGGTGACTTGAACAGCTATTAAAGATGTAGGATGAACGGTAGGCTGGCATAGTCGATGAGGTGGATGGATGGATTGACGATTGGGTGTGGTTGGGGTACGGATGGGTTGTGGCTCGACCAATTGCAACTCAAAGGAGATCGTGTGATATCAGGGGTTTTCGGCGCGTTTATCTGGGGGTGGTTGGGGTGGTGGTTTCGGCTACAATCCAAAATGATGTCCTTTTTGGATCAAAAAGAAAGAAAACCAGGGGGAAACTCAGGGTGGAGGACCAAAGAACGAACCCAGGCACAAAAGACATGCCGATCTCGTTCCTTTCTTCGGGTCTCGATCTACTTCTCCATCCCAAAAGACGTGCCGAACGAACGAACTGTTCGGTCGGCCCGGCGTCTGGTGCGTCTGGCGCCAGATGTTTGAAGCTGAAGGGGGTGAATGACTGGGTGACTGGGTAGGAGAGTTACATGGGAAGACGGAATCCTGGCGATGAATGATTTCTGGGAACCTGGCGATAGCTGGTGAAGTGTTTTTGTTTATGTTCTTCAGGTGTGTCGGGGAATGCCTGCAGGTGTGTGGATTCTGGCCGTTACCACATTGCCACACGTTGCCGGGGAATAGGGTGGTTCAACAGGTGCCAAATCACCCAGCACCGGAATGGAGACATCGACTAAAGGCAGGTGGGCAGGTTCATGGCCCTTGGTTGGAGGGAAAGCTTCAGAATGTCCTCTGACCTGATAGGGTTGATGAGGGTTTATGCTATATTGCTAAAGGCCTTCGAAGTCGCCGTACTCTAAGACTCTAAGACGAGTACGCTAAGAAAAAACAAAAAACATGCCTATAAACCTTCCTTCCTTCTTTCTCGTTGCGGGCGCAAGATCCTCCGGCGCGAGCGAGCTCGAGCTCCTCCTCCTCCTCTGGGGGTCCCCGGCGTTCTGCTTGCTGAGCGCCAATTGAAAGCCCATTGGTATCGGCCGACGCGGGATCGGCCGTGGGTGCGGCACCTGCGTCGAGCAGAGCTCCGGGCTGGGGTGGGGCAACGGCCGGTGACGGGTTTCAGAGGTTCGATGGTACAGTGGGGCTTCGCCGTGGTTTAACGGTGGGGATTGGGAATTCTATAGATTGATTTACAGTGGTTTCAGAATCTTCCACAGGTTCGATGGCACAGACACCAAGATGTCCTAGACAGATGGGGGGTCCACTACTAAACCACCGACATTGGGGTAACTTGTGCCATCGAACCTCTGAAACCACCGCAATGGTGAAGAAGCAAAACATCATTCTGGTAAAGATTTAAACAGCATTACCTTTAAATAGAAACAAACACAATTTGTGCCATCGAACCTTTGTGCCACAAAATTGATGATGGTTTGTTTCATTCTGGTAAGGCTTCAGAAACAAACACATTGATTTAAATGTATCTCCCTGTCTCCACCTTCACACGACAAAGCCAGTGGTCTTCTTAGATGATTGGTTCCTTGGGCGACCGTACGGGTGGCGACCGAACGAGAGAGAGTCTGTGGGAGGATGCAAGAGACTGGGCGGCGGCAGGTTTGCCAACGAAATCTTCGGACACTTCAACCAGAGTCTCTGTCTTTGCGCAACGTTTGGATCATCCTGCTTGCGGGTGTCTCACATGGCTTCCACGTATCCTCGAGAAAACACGGCAGCTGCGAGAAAGCACCGTTGGATGTTCTGGGGGTCGAACAGTGTTTAAGCTCGGTGATTGACATCCAAAGAACAATGATGGTTCTTCCAATGCCTATGAAGATATCAAGGAAGCAAATGCTTTCATAATACTTCAATTCCAATTGCAATCCGTTTTGATGTTTCCGTTTTGCAGAGGCGCCTTTGGGAGCCTTTGCTTCTGCAGCGGTGCATGGGCTTCTGGGGAATGCAAGGCCTCAGCTATGGAGGCAGCGGGGAATGCGCTGATCCAGCGCTTTTTTGGGCCGTTGGGCGTCCCAGTGTCCAAAGCCCATCCAGTCCTATAATGTTTTGTTTGTCTTATTTGTTTCCAGCTGTTACGATAATTACATATAGAATATTATAGACTATTATAAATATTGAAACTTGAATGGAAGAGTTAAGCGGATGGGTCATCCATGGGATATTTATGACATCTTCCAGTCCCATGGAGGGTCCGGTCCCGTGTCTGAACCCAGCGCTGCGCCCCGTGCCACCGAGGAGCTAAGAAGAACGTGTGGCCCTGCCAAGGTCCCGACACCGCGTTGCCTGACATCGAGTGGCACATCCGGATGCAGATGAGCACGATCCGGACGGCGGTTCGGAGAGTAAACTGAGAAGCCCAATGGAGGCTGAGAAGCTGAGCCTGAAAGTTAAGAGCAACAAATCCTGCATACCTGCTGTCTATCTTCAGGTGTCCTTTGATGTCAATCTGCAGGGCTGGCAAAACACGCTGCGCCCGGGTAAGCCTCACGCATGGTGCTCAAATTGTTTAATCACAATCAAGCCGAGCAAGGCTCAGGCAGCAAGTTTCCTTCAAGTCTCGCGCAACGCAAAGGTTCAAAGAGCAATCCCTTTCGGAGAAGTTGCGCGGCGAGCGAAACCGCCTTTTCTCAAACACGACCTGTTCGGGACTGGAAGATTTACGATAATAAGTATCGATTAAGTATATCGTAAGTTAAGAAGGAGGATCAATAATATAAGTTAAGAGGGAGGATCAATAATATCAATAATAAGTCAAGAAGGAGGATCAATAATAAGTTAAGGAGGGTGGGGTGAATAATGAATGTACCCAGACGCTCCAAACAACCCTTGGTCCCTCAATGTCCCTCAAGAGGAATCTGCTCATGTGACCAAGCAGAGTACCAGAGTGTTTCGTACCATGAACCACAGCCAATCCCTAGGGATCCAAGTACCTTCTCAGAAGGTACTTGGACCCTCCAAACCTACATAGCGGTGTCTCCAATCACCTGCTGAGAAGGTACGACTGGATCCCTTGGGAATGGACTCCAATTCAAGCTGGATCTGGGTTATTTGGACCCTAAGGATCGATGATGACTCACGGAAGATCTGAACGTCGCATCCCTTCCGTCCCCAGCTGTTTTCATGGAAGACCGAAGCATCTCCTTCGAACGAACACGGGAGGGGTCAGACTGGAGCCCAGCAAACGGGGCACGCCTGTTTTCTTTAGATATGTTGTTTTATACCAAACTCCCCCAGATGAAGGTTTGACCATCAACTCCCCCATGAAAAAATCACTGATTCTACTCTCCGTGCCCGCGCAGTCGACCGCCTGGCCGTCTGGAGCCATGCAGCGTCATGGAAATCTCCTGCCGATCGATGCCGATCGGGTTCCCAGAGACGGACTCCGGTGGACTGGGCGTGTTCCGGGTGTTTGATGGGAGGGAAGCACGTCGTTTTCTTTGATCCGAGCAAGGTCAATGAGTCTAAAAACGAAGCACTGGCTGGACGTGTCGACAGTTGTTTCATCTGCCTTCGGGGAAACACAAAAACTAGTAGGGTGGAGAGTAGATGGCACAATCCCCAAAAGGTTGTTCATATGGACCCCTATATAAAAGACATCTTGGGGTTTGTGCCATCTACTCTCAATCACCTGTGTACATGCTGTGCTTTCCCCTCACCCGACAGGGTCGAATTGGGCACCGGAAGTATCCAACTTCGAGGGCGCAGAGTCCATGCAGTGATCCTTCCCAGTGATGATGTAACACCCGGAGGCCCCGATCCGTGCAAACTCGGGTTGGTCAACGAGAAGTGTTGGGAGCTTCTCATCTGATCACTCGGGAGTTGGTCAACCGAGTATACCACATCTAGGAATCTAGGTCACTGGCAGTACCACCCACGAGAAGAAGGTGTGGTGTGGGGCGTCCAACGGCCGGACAAACGGGGGCCAAGTTGGCAAAGACTTCCCAAAGGCTTTCGCCCACCTGGACAATGCCCATCTTGGATCAAGCTATAGAGGCCTGATCGTTGCAATCATGAGCCAGACACTCCATGGGACTGCCATATATGCCTACATTGGGATGGTTTGAGGGGTCAATGTAGGCATATATGGCAGTCCCATGGAGTGTCTGGGTGAGGGCTTAATGTACTGGTGCTCGCACCGGCTTCCATTTCCATTTCTAGTTGCACTGGCCCCTTTTACCTCCAAACGCGTGTGGGTCAGGACCCCTCCTCCAATCCCCTTCGCCCCGCCCTCCAATCCTCCGAAGAAGACACTCGGCACGCCTCCCAACCTCGACGTCGCGGCGGACGCACAGTGTGCCTGCTTGGTGGAGAAGGCATAGGTGGGCGCAGGGCCTTGAGGTGGCATCCAATCCTGGCGTTTCCGAAAGGGCGTTCTCCTGGCGTTTGGCTTGCGGAGGCGTTTTGCTTAGTGGTTGTGTGGGCAGAGGGTGTGGAAAAAGAAAGTCCAAGATATGTCCAAGATGCATTGTGAGTTCCGTGGTACAGTACCCTGTGCTTGGTTGATTGGCTTGTTTGACCGCCTACTACTACTACTACTACTACTACTACTACTACTACTACTACTACT